AGAATTTCACTAAGGACCAGACAGTAAATCAGGACAGTTAAGTACACGTGAGTGTCCTATAGATTGAAGCAAACCTTTAACGGCTGCTGAGATAAGTGACTGCGCATATGCTGTGAACATACAAATCAATACAGCAGTGAGTGTGTTAGTTGTTCAACCTATTTTATTTTGAGGCATTTATCTTTTACTCTAATGGGATTGTACCATTCCTTCAATTTGTATTTGACAGAGCACTATGGAAAGCAGATAAATATTCACAGTAATTGCCATTGAGACTTACATATAATCTTCTAAGCTAATAACACTTACATTCTCCTATTTTTTAATGGTCTACTGCCCTAAGGATTGATTTTCTATTGACAGTTGCTGGACACTGACAGCCCTGATGAATCCATTTTGTCTGCCAGTTATGCTGGATGAACTCTCAAAGAGATACTCAGAATAAAAAATGCGGGGCCTTAATTTTGCAGAGCAGTTTGCATGTGAAATCAATTTAATTTGCTTGCAAGACAGAGCCTCACAACCAGATTTTGAGCCAAGAAATAAAAGGAAAGCATAGGTAAAAAAACCCACAGTGTACCTGCTGAGCAGCTTGTCTTGGATGCTGAGATCATCCCTGCACGGGAGTCAGCTGTAGAGCTATTCTTACCAGACAAGGCTGTATCTGAACAAATATTGGGAACATTGACTTTGCAGCAGCAAAGCCTCGGAGTAGGTTATTTGGATAGTTGTAATTAGTATTACAATCTCTGCCCAGTATTCCCCTTTTCGTGTTCTCCTAACAGGCTTATGTTTTGCTAACAAACGTACCACGTCTCGAGCAGCCCAAATTTGGTCTCGTGTGTAGGAATGACATCAATGTTAATAAAGTGCATCTATTGGTGGTGTGAAATGCAGAACCTGTTGCAATGGCAGCAGTTCAAGCTCTGACTCTGTGAAAGCACTGAAGGAAAACAGTTTTTCATTTTGGAGATCACTGGAAGGCGGTAGCGGAGGGATATGGAGATTATTCAGTTGGATGTATCCAGGACAAGAGTCGCCAGTCTAGGTCCGCAGAATAAGCCAGATGCTGTTTTCTAACCACCGTCGACTAACTATTCATTAACTCAAAGGTTTATGAAAGCCGAGCTGAAGTTGCTCAGTGGTGATTCCTGTCCTTCCAGAACACTGTGCTGGGCTGCGCGCTGCCTCTGAGGACAAGGTCGCAAGGAGGCCTGTGACCAACACCCCTCCAGCACACGGCAGTAAGCGCGGTGGTTAGTGTCCGGGCTTTTAGTAACGCCCGCTCCAGTGAAGGGCAACAAAATACATGCAGCTCAGCAGCAGTTTGGAAGTGAGTGCAGAATTGGTTGAATAAGAGCAATAAATACAAGAGTCAACACTGCATGGAACTCGACGCTGCTCTGTGGGCTGAGCACATATTGTCGTTGACTCTTTGTAGATAGCTGTTACTACTAATAGTACTTATGATATCGTAAGTGCTATCCAGTTAGGGGCCTATCCACACTTTTTAGACACTAGGGTGTCACATCTAAATAAGAAAAAAGCTGCATTCACTGCGGGTTGTGATGATACTGCTATCTTCTTTCTAGCTCACACTTGTGTTTTCTCTCTCCTCTCTCTCAAGCGTAAGGCTGAACTGTAGAGTGCTTTTAGGGCCAGGTCAGGCAAAACTGATAAGTCTTCCAGGCTGGGCAGGATCAGGTCTGCCAGGGATTCAATAAAGGTAACACCAGACTTTTAGCTATTCTTTCTCCATAACGCATACTATGGAGAGCATGCCGAGTTGTAGCTGAAGGTTGATAGCAACTTTCACTTCTTGACAATATAGAGCATCTTCTAGTTTATCATGATCTGGTCTTTGGCATGCTGCACAAGCCTTGTTTCTGTTTAGCTGGAAACTTCTGTCATTGTTCTTCCAAAGAAAAAAGTCTGTCTGAGAAATAATTGCTTTCACTTGGCAATGACCCTTTTTCCTGAGGGTGAATGACAAAGAAGGGAGGGAATAGAACTGGGTGAAGATCAAACTTAAAATTTTAGATCTTGCATCCTGGCCCTAAAATGATTGCCTGGTGTTTTGCCTGGCAGTGCTTGATTCTTGTCAACAAAGTGGCATGGGCTCAGATACATACTATTGCTGGCAATGACTCTTCTGACCCATTTAACTTTGTAATGAGTGTGATCTTCAAGTATATGGTAGATTTGAAAGTAATCTTACTTTCCTGACTGTGATGTTGCTGTTTGCATTGTCTGTGCAAATAGTGCGGTTATTGCCATGATCTCTGGTAGTGCTACTGCAGGGTATCTATGAACAAGGCAGACACTGCATTCCCTGAATTTTCCTTTAAGGCCTCTTAAAGTTTTAGTTGCTTCCATGACCTGTATTCAGAACTTCCTTATCCTGTTTGCCAGATACAGTGTATAAAGCTTGAAACTAAATATGCATTTAATTTGCATAAATTATTAGCTTGCCAGAGAACTGTGATTTTTATCAAAGATTCTGTAATGAAAATTTATTGTTGCAGAAATTGCTTGGGCAATCAATCATGATGGTAAGTCTGCATATAGCTGGAATACTTACAAATGTCATTAATCGAAAACATTCATGTTGATTAAGGTCAAGTCACCATAGAAGATAGATTCCTCTGTTGACTATCATTTATCAGTGAAACTGATGTAGGGAATAGGAAGGAGAAATGCTTTTGACTTTACAGTCATAGCTTATCAAGTGCTTTCATAAAAACATCTGGCTAGAGAAGTAAACAAAACATCAAAATTTCCATTGGCTTCAACAGTAAAAGCTAATTATTTCACCAGGGTGCTACCTATTATTTACTACAAAGTACTATTAAACAATAACAGAAGTGTTTATTTCCCATATGTGAAGAAATGGATTGCTCCAGAGGCCAGCAATGTTACAGAAAAATTCTTTGACATTCCTTCAAAATGCAGTCTGGGTTAGCACAGGATTGTCACCGCCCGATGCCCTGAATGGTGCCCATTCTCAGTAGCTGCCACTCAGTTTCACAGAGGACAGAGGCTTCCCTATTTGCATTTTTACTGCGTTCCTGCTACTTATGAAGGGAAGACTAAGGAATGAATGGGCACAGACCGCTGATTTATCCCCAAGTACAAGGCACAGTGGCAGGATTATGGAGCTGGTGATGCTGCTACCTTACCGTCATACAGAGAAGAAAGAATTAGTAGCAGGCCAGAATGAAAATCTGTCTAATAATTTTCACCTTTTCCTCCTCAAACCTGTCCCAGATTTTGAAAGATCAGATAAAAGATTGTGCTGTGGAATGCATACATTTACACACACATATATGTTTGCCATGCTTGATGAATTACCGTAACCAAGAGGGAGTGAACATACACAGCTCCGCTGCTGTCACTGGAAGGTAGCAGTGCTCAGATTGTCACAGGGCCGGGCCTGGAGCCATTTTTTTCCTTAAGCCTGTGATAAAGCACACAAACAGAATTTTTTCTGTGCGTATTAATCATCTGAATCTTTATAATTCAAATGTCAGCTGCATAAATTACTTTTCATGGATTAATGAAACATGCTCTTTGTATTGGAAAGTACAAGCACAATACATTCTCTATAATCTTTATTTTAATTTTAAATCATTTGGGTGACTATAGAATGGGTGAGGCCTTGGGATATACATGCCAGGTGTTTGGTGGAATTGAGATGACTGAGGAGGGAGGAAGAGGTCATTTTGCCTTTGTATTCATAGGGCTGGGTCACTCTGGTACTTGGCAATGCCTAGTGAGGTGCCACCTTGTCTTCTGGAAGTTCAGCTTTTGTTTTCCTTTATTAAAAGATAAATCTCTATCTGGAATGGCTTCCGGTGAACTTAAAAAACCTGCGCGCCGACAGTAACCCACCTTGAGCTCTCCCCACGAATATGCTGCCAGCCCAATGTAATTAGGCTGGAAAAGGTGAACATTATTCCCTTTCATTTTTGTAAAGTATCATTTCAGACGGCCATTGCCTTATTATCTCCTTACGTAGCACCAACAGGAGGGATCACTCATGTTAACAACCCGCTCTCACGTCTCCTCATGCCTTGTTTTGGCCATATCAGCAGCCGGCAGCTGGGGGAACACCTCCGTTTAGATAGCTCACCTCCCGGAGAAACACCCTGACGTAGCTGCTCGGGAAGCGAAACCCCACCGAGGGTGCATCGAGGCTCCAGAAAGCCCGGGGAGCTGGAAGAGCAGGCAGGGCGCTGCTGCCGACGCCAGCCCGCTGCTCCCCGGCCTGGCTGCGGCGGCTGGGCGGGCGTTGGGGGCCAGAGTCCCCTGGCAGGACGCGCTGTTTGCGGTGTGGTTTGAAACACAAACACACACACACACCCCCTCCATGCCCAAGGACACCCTCGGGGCTCACCCCCAGGCACTCAGCCCTCCCCCCGACCCCGCAGAGCAGCCGGGAGGGGCAAGGCTGGGGCCCGGCCGCCATGCCGGGCCCTGCCCACCTGTGTCAGCCCCTCGCCGGCGGCCCGCCAGCGTTGTGGAGATGGCGGGGGGGGGGGGGGCAAAATCGAGGAGGCAGGGCCTGGCGGCAGCACCCTGCCCCTCGGCTTCACCTCCTTCCCCAGGTGCCTGCCCTGAGGGAGAGGCGACACGGGCGGAAGCCTGGCTCCAGCGTTCATGCTGGGGGCGGAAGTAGAAAACGAATCCGTACTGGGGGTGGGGTGTGTGTCTCACCTTTAACGCAGCACCCTGCCCTTCCCCCACCCCCGGCAGCTGAAAGCGCAACAAGCGCTCGCACAGCGCCCTAAGTGTGTCCCTCCCGGCTCCCCTTCCTCCGCGGCCCACCCGGCGGCAGACTACACTTCCCAGGAACGCCGCGGGGCGGCCCGCCCGCCCTCACAGGCCCGGTAGTCTCCGCGCCCTTCCCGCTCCCTTCCCCGCGCCGGGCCGCGGCGGCGGCGGAGACTACCGTTCCCGAGCGCCCTTGCGGCGGCGCGCCTGCGCCGTGCGCGTGGAAGTGCGAGAGGCCGTTGCGTTGCGGGCAACGGCTAAGGCAGCGAAGAGGCTGTAAGCGGCGGCGGCGGCGGCTTCCGCGTTTGCCGGGAGGGGGGACGGACAGACGGATAGGCGGACGGACTGGGGTGGGGGGCGAGGAGCGGCGGCGGCAGCGGGAGGGCGCTCGGTGGATGGGCGGCTGGCGGACGGCACCGGCGGCGGCATCTGTCAGGCGCCGGAATCTGTCAGGCGCCGGTCGTCAGCCGGGGCGCAGGGGATGAGCCTGTGAGGGCGGAGGAGCGCGAGTGGGGGTGAAGCCCGGGCGGAGCAGAGCGATGTCCCAGCCGCAGCAGCAGCAACAGCCGCCGCCGCCGCCGCCGCCGTCTCCTCAGCAGCAGCCGCAGCCGCCGCCTCCGGCCGCCTCCAAGAAGCGGGACCGGCGCATCTTCTCGGGCACCTGCCCCGACCCCAAATGCCAGGCGCGGCTCTTCTTCCCGGCCCACGGGCCGCAGAGCAGCGGCAGCATCGAGTGCACGGACTGCGGGCAGCGCCACGAGCAGCGGCAGCTGCTGGCCGTGGAGGAGGTGACCGACCCCGACCTGGTGCTGCACAACCTGCTGCGAAACGCGCTGCTGGGCGTCAGCGGTGCCGGCCCACCCCGCCGCAACACCGAGCTCGTCAAAGTCATGGGCCTCTCCAACTACCACTGCAAGCTCCTGGCCCCCATCCTGGCCCGCTACGGGATGGATAAGCAAACTGGCAAAGCCAAGCTCCTCACGGAGATGAACCAGGGAGACATCTTTGACTGTTCCCTCTTAGGTGACCGCGCCTTCCTCATCGAGCCGGAGCACGTTGAAACCATCGGTTACGGAAAGGACCGCTCTGGCAGCCTCATCTACCTACACGACACCCTGGAAGACATCAAGAAAGCCAACAACAGTCAGGAGTGCCTCATTCCCGTCCATGTGGATGGAGATGGTCACTGCCTGGTCCATGCGGTCTCGCGGGCACTTGTTGGCAGGGAACTGTTCTGGCACGCTCTGCGAGAGAATCTAAAGAAGCATTTTGAGGAGAATCTGAGTCACTACAAGGCGCTTTTCCATGACTTTATTGATGCAGCAGAGTGGGAGGACATTATCAACGAATGTGACCCTTTGTTTGTTCCTCCAGAAGGCGTGCCAATGGGCCTTAGGAATATTCACATCTTTGGTCTGGCCAACGTGCTTCACCGGCCTATCATCCTGTTAGACTCCTTGAGTGGGATGCGAAGCTCTGGAGATTATTCAGCGACGTTCCTCCCTGGCCTGATACCCCTAGAAAAATGCATGGGGAAAGACGGCATGTTGAACAAGCCAATCTGCATTGCATGGAGTAGCTCGGGACGTAACCATTATATTCCTCTAGTAGGAATAAAAGGTGCTGCTTTACCTAAACTGCCTAGGAAGCTACTTCCTAAAGCCTGGGGAGTCCCTCAAGACCTCATCAAAAAGTACATCAAGTTAGAGGAGGACGGTGGTTGTGTTATTGGAGGAGACAGAAGTTTGCAAGATAAGTACTTGATGAGGCTCGTTGCTGCAATGGAGGAGGTTTTCATGAGTAAACATGGTATCCATCCGAGTCTCGTAGCTGATGTGCATCAGTATTTCTACAGAAGGACTGGTGTAATAGGAGTCCAGCCTGAAGAAGTCACTGCGGCTGCCAAAAAAGCAGTGGTGGACAACCGCCTTCACAGGTGCCTCATCTGTGGGGCCCTTTCAGAGCACCATGTTCCTCCAGAGTGGCTGGCTCCTGGGGGGAAACTGTATAACCTGGCAAAAAGTACCCACGGCCAGCTAAGGCCTGACAAAAATTACAGTTTTCCCCTGAACAGTTTGGTGTGTTCTTACAATCCTGCAAAGGATGTGCTGGTACCAGACTACAGCCTGAGTAGTTTGACTGCTTGTAACTGGTGTCATGGTAACTTAGTGCGTCGCGTCAGAGAAGATGGATCTGTTTCATATTTGGACGGAGACAGAACTAATACTAGATCCACAGGCGGCAAATGTGGCTGTGGATTCAAGCACTACTGGGAAGGTAAAGAATATGACAATCTCCCTGAAGCTTTTCCTATTACTCTAGAGTGGGGTGGAAGAGTGGTGAGAGAGACAGTCTACTGGTTCCAGTATGAAAGTGACACATCTCTGAACAGCAACGTGTATGACGTCGCCATGAAACTTGTTACCAAGCACTTCCCTGGTGAATTTGGTAGTGAGATTCTTGTTCAGAAAGTTGTCAACACAATACTGCATCAAACAGCCAAAAAGAACCCTGATGATTATACCCCTGTAAACATCGATGGTGCTCACGCCCAGAGAGCTGATGATGTACAGCAAGGACAAGAGTTAGAGTCACAACTTCCAACCAAAATTATTTTGACTGGACAGAAGACAAAAACTTTGCACAAGGAGGAGCTGAATATGAGCAAAGCTGAAAGAACTATTCAGCAGAACATTGCAGACCAGGCTTCCGTAATGCAGAAACGGAAAAGTGAAAAATTGAAACAAGAACATAAAGGGCAACCTAGGACAGCTTCTCCTGGGGCTGTCCGTGAGGGGCCATCCTCTGCACCTGCTACACCAACAAAGACCCCGTATTCTCCAACATCTACAAAAGAAAAGAAAATTCGAATAACCACAAATGATGGGAGGCAGTCCATGCTTACCTTAAAGTGCACGACCACCTTCTTGGAACTACAGGAAAGCATAGCGAGAGAATTTAATATTCCTCCATATTTGCAATGTATTCGCTATGGCTTTCCTCCTAAAGAGCTTCTGCCTCCCAAAGAAGGCATGGAAAACGAGCCCGTTCCCTTGCAGCATGGTGACAGAATTGCAGTAGAAATCCTGAAAGGTAAGGAGGAAGGCAGGCAGTCTGCTTCAGCTCACTCGGCCCATGCCGTGAAGCATGAAGATGCTGCTGTGACCAGTAAAATCTCATCGAAGGAACTGCAAGAGCAAGTTGATAAGGAGATGTATTCTCTCTGTCTTCTAGCAACACTAATGGGTAAGGCTGACTTCACATTATACTTTAAAATTGTATTTTTAAGTAAAAGATAACATTTTACAAACTGTAGTTATAAACATACTTAATTTGTTCTTTTTTTGTAACCATGGAGAGGGTTAGTTCCTTTATTCCTCTATTAGAAGAACATTTAACATGCTGTCAGTGATGTGCTGAGTGTTGTGACTTTTTAAAATGTGTATATGATACTCGAGCTGTTTAGAAGTTGTTGCATTTCCTCTGCTGTCTGTCTCTTTGTTTGTTTTTCCTGTCTCTCATTAGGCACGCATCTGATGTGTATGTGTGTGAGCTACATGCTCATCTTTCCTACATCTCCTTCAGGATTCAGGAAATAAGTTCAGAGCAGAAGTGAGGAGGGGATGCCGAGTGTGCTCATTGGAAGTTTGAGGACCAAATTCTCACCTTTGTAGTAGGATGAAGTCCTGGCATTTCTCCCCACATGGAGTTGTGTTGGTTTAAGCAAATCAGCGCAACACATCTCCTAAACTAATCTGCTAATTTTAAGTGGTGATCTGATCTTTTTAAAGAGCTGTGAAAAGTATTATTTCAGAATGTAAACAGAGGGGAAACTGAAAGAATCTCACTACGGATTTGAATCCCGAAGGTGGGCATAGGGTTGCAAAGCTATGCTTATAAATTGTTAGTCACGTAAATCTGACTGACTGTTAACAATTCAAGATGAAAGGACTTTTCTGAGGTGGCTGTGTTTCTTATTTTCATATTTGGACTCAGGAGACTTGGACCTTTGTTTGTGTACTTTCTTCATCAGGTTTCACAGTTCTTGCTGCTTACTGGCAGGAAGTAGAACAGTAATTATCATACTTTTAGCTCTGTGAACCAGTTGAATAGTAGTGTTTACAAGGGTTTTTTTTTTTTTTGTGGGAGCCTTCCTTTTTGCTGGAGGGATTTGGTGTGGCTAAAGCATGTGATGTTTTAGAAATGAAACAATTACGTAATCACAGGGTGGTATGGCAGAAGTTCATCAAGCAGAACTTTGATTCTTTTCCAAGCCTGATTGTTTACTCCTGTGTCTCTTGCAAGATAGTGTGCTGAATCACTAGCCACCTTGTCACGCTGACATTTACACCGCAGTTCCAAAGTGCAGGAAGAAATTAGGGTTAAAAGCTGTCATAATTTTGAGACGAAGCTTAAAAGAGTGCTTTTCTGTTTTCAGGAAATACTGCTGAGACTGCAGTTACTGGCTTACAAAAGACTGATGTGTTTTAAAAGTATCTCAGTTACTACAGCATTTAAGGTGTGCCATTTTTTATGGGTACTTACCCATAAACTGTGAGTTGATCTTGTATTCAAGAATCAATTTTTGTCTTTGACTCTCACTGCTGTTAGGTTCTGCTTTCGAAGCACAGGTTAGAATAGAACTTACCTTGACCTTCTCTGACTGCATCCATTTTGCATTACTAATAGAAGTAAAAGTGGCAGCAAATGACATACCAACCAACCATGCGGCTACTGAATAAGATGATATTTTTATATAATCACTTCTCTCATAAGGGCTTCATTTTCCTTTAAAAATACTTGTGGAAAAAGTCTAGACAGTTGACTTTACAATTGTGATTTTTTCAATGGGGAAACAAACTCTAAGAAACTTGCTAAGTCCTTGCAATTTAAGAGAGTGTTGGGATGGCAGTTCCTCAAGGTGATCCTCAAGGCAGTTCCTCAAATTCAGTCTTTTTGGCATGAGAAGCCTTAATGTTTCTCGATGACATTTCTGTACTGCTAAAAAACAGGGCTGCAAAGTTCTGAGAGTCAGCTTATCCTGTATGCTCTTGCTGTAACTTTGTTCTGCTAAAAACATTCATCTAACACAGTCAGAATGTGTAGAGGGCAGATGCTGTTGAAATAGCTTGCTGGGCTAGACACAATTTTCTTTTTTATTCCCCAGTGCTCATAGTGAAAGTGTGTCTTCAAACATCTCTAACCATTCTGGATGCTTAAAACTTTTCTTTCATACAGGGTCTCCTGTAGGCTGACTTGATGCTTCTTTTGTGTTTCAGTTACTAGAATTTTTCTTTTCTGATCTCAGCTAGTTAACTTGCTAAAACTTTAGACCATGTTCTTTCATTTTTTCTGTCTATAATTTAAAAACAAACCCTGGGAAATGAGATACTGTAATTTCTGGAACACTTGACATATTCTGCATGATTTTTTTGTAAAGCTTTCTCTTTTTTTTTTTGTTTTGCTCAAAATACAGAATTCTATAGGGAAATGACTAAACGGATTGTAATTTTACATTAACATAGTTAAAACATTGAATTTTTAAACAGATTTAATTATAACCATGCAGAAGCAATCTGGATACATGCAAGCCAACTATGAATCTATTTTGATCGGTTTGTTTTGCATTGATGAATTCATCAGTGCACAAGAAATCAAAATAGCCAGGTTTAAATTAAATGCATTAATTGACAATCAGGATTTGATTGGAATTAAACAGCTTGTTTTTAGGTCAGCTGTAGTTCCCTGTAACCTGTGTTTATGAACTAAGCATTTGATTTGTTTCGTACTTCTGTGTGTCCTCTCTGCTGTATGAAGTGATGGTCTTGGGCCTCCACTGGCATAGGTTATCTACCTCTGCTCTTTGCAGCATATGAGGCATACTCGTGGGTAGGATAGTCTTCATTTGTTGCCATACCATAATGTTGTGGGGCTGTCTGGCCTGAGGAAGTGTGTGCTGGGGTGGGAACAGTGCAGAGAACATAATCTCTTCGATAAATGTAGTGTCTTGAGGGGGTTTTTAATCTGACTAAATGATCACCCAAATTAACTTGTGACCTATAAACATCTTCCTGCCATGGTAAACAAAACCAAAACAAACAGTAAAACTCACTAGCAACAAAAATGTACCTCAAACGTAGCTTAGTTGAATTACACACTAGCTTCTCTGGTCTGGGAAAGTCCGGTTGTAACTGTGGGTTTGGTTTTTTTTTTTTTTTTTTTTTGGTGTTCCAGTCAGAGATGACTTTATCAAAACAGCAGCGTTAGTTTAGTGGCTGATGCTTTTGTTTCATGAGCCCTGCTCTCCATGCTTTTCTGCATGTAGTCCTTGCTAGTGTTCCATAAAAGTCTATCTAAACAGTGATGCTGCTCTTGTGCAAGGCTTGAAGAGTCATGCCCAGAGCAAATAGGAAATTTCTCCTTGGAGAATGCCACTAATGTGTAAAACTGGTCTGCTTCTAAAAGCCAGGTGGCTGTCTTCTGGCAGGGAGGGGAGCCCTTCAAATAAGAACAGATTTCTAGATGCAGCAGTATAGGAGTCCTTACTCTGGAGTCAGGTGCTGTGTGGCTGTTGGCTGTGGCCTCCCCAGGCTTTGGTAGACTGGTGACTGTACTCTCTTGCTTATCAGTGTAGTGGTTGTTTTGATTCCTGTGGGCAGTATTTAAACCATCAGGAGGACTTGGGGGAAAATGAAGAGCCACAGCAGTGCATCTGACAATGTAAATGAGAATAAGGATGCAGGGTAGCAGTGAACTCCTTTTGAAATAGCAAAAACAGTAGAGAGAGTGTTACCAGGAGTGATTCTGCTCCCTCCATGCAGTTGTTTGAAGAAGATGGAAAGCAGTGGCAATAGTGGAGAGGAGAACGCTCCTTTTAAATTTATTTTTAATTTTTTTTTTTTTTTTGTAGTGGAATCAGTGAGAACTGGAGAAGAGCTTCAGATTTATTAGCAAGTCAATAGACAGAAATTATCAGCATAAAGTCAAAAGCCAAGACATCCTTCAGTAGATCATGGAAAGTAAGAAAGGAGGGTAGTTGGTTTGTTACCTCGATGTTCTTACTAGGAAGTAAAGGCCGAATCTGTGAACTTGATGTGCAAATGAATGCAGTGAGCTAGAGCAAATAGGAAATGCATTTAAAATTAATCAGATTACGTAGGTCTCCTGTCTTTAAAATGTCTAAAGACAAAACACGATGAAGATGCACTGTACCTTTTCAGAGAGAATGGGGACTTGAATATCACCTGAAGTGGAGAGGCGAGCGACAGAATCCTTCTTTCTGGTGGGGTGACAGACAAGCAGAGGAGTGTATGCAGTCCCGTGCCTGTCAGAGAAGGAAAGCAGAAAAGTCGGAGAGTGGCTTGAAGGGCTTCAAAGTGTATGTGGCACATAATGCCACTGTCACAGGGGTAAAAGCTTTTCTCACTTGAGACAGGTGGGATAGGAGAGTAGCCACAGTTACCTTGTGGGATATACAGTAAAGAAATAAATGTAAGGAGGGATTTAGACATGGCCTATATTCAGTTTGTGGAAGCTATTAAAAATAACTTTTTACTCTTATTTTGCTCTTCGCAGCAAGCAAAGAAACATTGGTGGGTAATATTTTACAGCCTCGCACATTTCAGCTATCTCTATTCCGAGTAGTACGTGCATCCAGTTAACTTTAGTTGATGATTTACATTCTCCAGTTTTAATAGAAAATAGAAAGATATGGTTATTGAGATTCTGATGCCTAAAGAAGAGTGCGATTTCTATTTAAAGTATCTCAGTATGTTCCCTGAATATTTGATGTAAAGTGGGAAGAACAATTTTTTTCTGAAAATGTATATACACGGTAGTTGTTTCTGCATCAGGAGAATGGCATTTATCAGTACTTTTTCTTTACACTACTTTGACAGCTACCTCACACATCACTTCTCTGAAGCAGGTAAGTGGTGAGCAAAACAAGGAAGAGGGTATAGGTAAAAATGCAGATCTGAACTGATTTAGCAGGTGCTGTTAGGTCACTGATATTCTGTCATTGTAACCCAGTTTTTCTATTCGTTATATTCCTTTCCTTACATAGTCTAGGTTGGTTTTTTTTTTCCTCTCAGTGACATTTAAAGTTGTCACATTTCAATGCCATTTTTGGCATCTTTGAAAAATGCCAGTTACACAGGACTGCTGGGGCCTCACAGTTGGCATTTTGTTTCTAACTTACAAGAAAAGCAAGGTACAGACACAGATTCTACGCAACTGCCTGCGTGGACCTTTGTATCTCAGCTCCAGTATAACTAATGTCTGCAGTATGGCAGCTGTGAAATCGAGATCTGATTTTTGAGAAAATGTAGGGATATAGAATTGAGGTTTTAATGTGCAAGGGTATGTGCTTGAATTTTGGAAGCGTATTAGTCATTTCCTAGTTCTGTGATGAAGGCATGGGTAGGAGGGGAATGGAGACTCATGTGTAGGGCCTGGCAAGGAACCAGGAGCTGCAGCTTGGATCAAATGAAATTTGGGAGTCTGTACTTGAGCACGTAGGATATTTGACTGCAGACAGTGGTCAGTTTTCCTGAAAGTTTCTCAATGTCCTGGGCTCCTGTTCTGTAAATTTGCAATAAAAATTTAAATTCTTAATTGCACAGAAGAGAGTGACGATTCAGCTTTTAGTTCAGGGAGTTACGTTTTTGGCCATTGTCTATAATGTTAAAATAAGACTGTTTATTTCTAATGACCGTGTTTGACTTTTACAGGAGAAGATGTTTGGTCTTATGCAAAGGGGCTTCCTCAGTTGTTTCAGCAGGGTGGAGTATTCTACAGCATAATGAAGAAAACCACAGGTATTTTTTGTTTTCTGTTTCTTCCTTCCTTCCTTCCTTTGATTTCAAATCTTTAAAATTGTAAATTGGTATTGAGTCATTTGTAAGCATAAATATATTTTTATTACCATTGCAGATTTTAATTTTCCCTATATTGTAGATCTCCTTATGTTCCCTCAGAGAGCCTAAGACTAGGGAATCAGGCTAGGATGAGTTCATTCACCTTAAATCTCTTATTTTCTGAAATCTTTTCTACAACCATACATCCCCATTTAAACTTCCTGAATTGTACAAAAAAATTCAGTAAGTCAACTGATTTTTGTTTTTCTGGAAAGATCAAAGAAAGAGATGATCATAGGACATATACCTGCTAAAACACTTAATGGATAAGCAATTCATCTTTCTAGCATGCTTCTCAGTAGATATTTTACACAGGGATACTGCATGCTTTGAATTTAAATGGTTGGTTACATTTATCTTTCATATTCCTAAGATTGTTGTTCAAAAGCCAAGCTATCCATCCATTCTTGCATTGATAAATGTTGCATCTCGGACTATGTGCAGAATAACCAAGAAGTGAGAGTATATTTGATTTTTTTTTTTTAGACTGCTTCATAAATACTACCCACAAAGAACAACATCTCTTTCTTTTAATTATCTCATTTAAAGTTTATTTTCTTATTGAAGTCTTTGCACTCATAGTTTAGCTCTTATGGTTTCATTTTTAATAATGATTCCTTTTCTGCTTTCTTACTGTTTGATTTCTTCTTAGGCAGTTTTGTCAACCTTAACTTAATCTTGATTGTTTCTGGAAACAGGTATTCTAGCACATAATTTCTGTTCTGTTTGCAGTAATTAAAATGTGTGGTATATTCAATGCCTCCTACCTCTCACTGAATTATTAGCCTGGGTGATAGAATTAGCATGCAGGTGTCTTCTAGCAGATCTGTTTCCTTTCCGTTTTCTTTCTTTTACTATGCTTATACAATAAAACTTGGTGTATTGTTTGTGGCAAGTGAGTTAGCTTAAACAGTGCCAGGTGGAAAGGACATTTTGGACCAATTAATGACTAGCCAGAGTTCAGAACCTAGAATGAATCCAAGAGATTTTAACCCAGCTGGTCATTAACTCACAGAAAATACCTGACTTAAAAGTTATTTTTGCCAACTGAGATTGTAAGAACTGAGGTTGTGGAAGATGGTATTCTGTATTTGAACATTATGGCATTTCTGCATGTGAAAGTATTTTATACTACCTTGGTAGGTAGAATTACTATTTCAGCATTAACATACTTGTAAGATTTTAACATTTTATGAACTACTAAATTTCCACATTAAACAATTACAGTGTGCAAGTCTATTTTTTTCACTTAAAGAAGTTCCTTACCCTATTTCTATATTTTAGTTAATGTAATAATGCAACTATTATACTGGGCATTTGGAACAAAGCTTTCTGTCAAGTGTAGACACTTAATCAATTAAAATTTGATTTAGCAGATCTTGTTTAAGATCTTATTTTGAGATTTCAGGATTGCAACTTCAGAGGCAGTTTTGGTCAATCGTAGAAGCTGTTACAGCACTCTCTTTTGCAAATGAAGGTTGAGCTGGTAAATTCTGCCGTTAAAATATGTTGTTCTCTGGGCTAAGTTAGGCAGATAGGTGTTTGGGGTTAAATTTTGTTCTGTGTGTGTTTTGGCTGTTTGGTTATTGGTTCCCACGGATATGTGAAGAAAGGAACTACCTGTCTGAAGTTCTTGAAATAAAATCTCATCTGTAGATTCTCTGCAACTGTCCAAGTGTGTGATTCAGAAGCTGTGGAGGATGAGTGAAACTGGCCAGTTGGTTCCTCGGTACCAAAGCAGTATAATAATGTTTCAGATAATTTGAATTACCTTTTTCACTGGTGCTTGGAATAGCTGTTTTGATTGCATTGTATTTGATAACACAGAAATAGGATTTGCTTGCTCTGATTCTTCCCTTCTGCATTATTTCTGGTGCTTTTCTTCAAGAATTGTAAGAGAATATGAGGAAAATTCACATTAATTTACCTACTCCTGACACTTTTTAAAAAGTGGGTTTTTTTTATTGTAGCTCTCCTTGCATAGCTCGTAGAACTTAACAGAACTGTTGCAGCCAGGTTTTCATCTGCAGATAGCTTTTAACTCACAGAAAGCCGTCATCACTGGAGTGATAGCTTACTGCTTTTTATGATGACAAACTGAAAGCAGATGTTGCCCACTTTTGACATAGAGCAGCTTCAAAACTTAAATTTGCCTAGTGGACTGTCAGTTTTAGCAGATGGGTCAAATTGCAAGTGGGACAATGAAACAAACAGCAGATCAAAAATATGCCTTATGTTTGTTTTGTAAAGGTTAATCATTATGATCTTGACCACTACTAAACATAGTAAGCTTGAAACAATTTTGTTTATTTAGCAATGCTTCCTCTCTGAGAAAAAGACAAATAGGAAATTTTAAATTTCTCAGGCTTAGCAGCAGTTGTACCCAATTCTACTACAATTCCAACTAGTGTAGAAGTGATCTTAAATATTACTTCTCCAGATAGACAGTGATTTGAAAGGTGGTCTTTGGCAGTTTTCTGGCTTTGGGGCAGGGGTTGGTGGTGGTAGTGATGGGATTTGGCTTGTTCTGTGTTACTGCAAGCATATATTATTTCTTTAATTTCTGTTGTAGAACAGCAAGTCCCAGCAAGGTGGTTATTTTATCTAGGAATACTACAGTCCTGTCTCTTCATTAGAATTACCATAGAAGGCAGCAGGATCTTAGGGATATACTGTGATTGCTATCATATGGCATACAAGCCTAAATTGGTTTTCTCTCACTGTAGTAAGTTTCAGTGTGTTTGCTTTAGCATACCTGATACAGTAAGTTTAAATGCAGTGATTGCTGTGTATTGAGAGCATGCCTTAAAATGTTAGCACTTTGAATAACTTCTTCTATCTTTATAGGTTTGGCTGATGGCAAGCACTGTACTTTTCCACATTTGCCTGGTAAAAACTTTGTGTACAATGCAGCAGAAGACAGATTAGAGCTGTGTGTGGATGCTGCTGGGCACTTTCCTATTGGTCCTGATGTTGAAGAGTTGGTTAAAGAGGCCTTAAGTCAAGTGCGAGCAGAAGCTACTTCAAGAAGCAGGGAAGCAAGTCCTTCACACGGAATGCTGAAGCTGGGTAGTGGTGGAGTAGTGAAAAAGAAATCTGAACAACTACATAACATAACTGCATTTCAAGGAAAGGGCCATTCCCTAGGAACTGCATCTAGTAGTCAACAACATGATCAAAGAGCCAGGGAAACACCACTTTTAAGAAAGCATAGCACAGAAACGGACTTCAGTCCTTCTGCTAAAATTGAGCCTTCTGTATTCACAGCTGCTTCTGGTAACAGTGAGCTTATCCGAATTGCACCGGGAGTTGTGACAATGAGAGACAGCAGGCAGCTTGACCCCACTTTGATTGAGGCACAGAGAAAAAAGTTGCAGGAAATGGTCTCTTCTATTCAGGCTTCAATGGATAGACATTTGCGGGATCAGAATACAGAGCAGTCAGCATCAGTTGATCTATCTCAAAGAAAAGTAGAGGCAGTGAATTCAACTGCTAAAACTGGGAGCTTTCAGGCTGGTTTACCCGAATCGCTTTCTGCACCAGGTGGTACTGAACACTTGAATACCGAATCAACTGATGGTAACATGGTGAATTCTGTGGGAACAACATTCCCTGCAAGGTCTAAAGCACAAAAGGGGAATTCTGTTGAGGAGCTTGAGGAGATGGATAGTCAAGATGCAGGAATCACTAATGCAACTGAGCCAATGGATCACTCTTGATAGGTTAAAATCTAATAAGGGTAGAAGAAATTACTGTTCAAATGTAATGTTTATTGGCTGGGCCACACAAAGTGATTAGTTATTAAATCTTGTATGTATGTCAAAGATTATATCATCTTATTCAGTGCATGATAAGCGTGTGATTGGCAATAGCTTTCAATATTACCATACTGCTGCCCAGGCTGGCTCTGTTACCTGTAAATTAGTTATTAGGATATGCACTGAGATGAATATCTGCTGTAAATGTGGGTTCTTGAAAATCCTTTGTAATTTTTAATTCCTCACAAGTCTTAAAACTGAAGCCCGTGCAAGGTTCTTACCATGCTAGTTTAAGGTTACTGGAAAGGCTAGAAGAGGCAAAACTAGAAATGTGACAAAATTAATCCTGCCCCAGGTATGTAATTCCACTCAAAAATACACTATAAACATGAATTAAACCTGAATTTCAAAAAAAACAACTGAAACTAAACTTTGCTAAGTTTGATAATGCAGCATATACAGTACTTTAGTTACATTGTGCTGGCATGTCCTCTGATTTAAAAACTTTTTCACTCATACAGCTGTATACGCTTGTCAGAAATCTTGGAATAAGTGTAACTTTAGTAAACACCCTAATTTATGCATAGTGTCAGTTTAAGCAAGTTAGAAAAAAGGCTACTTAGTGTATGACAAAGATAAAGTGAATGTGGTGTGGTTACGCGTGGCTGTCTGAGCCAACACAACCATTTTGGTGCTCTGTTAGTAAGTGATAGCATGTTTTTATTTCCTCCCAAATACCGAGCTGGTCAGATGTTGTGCAACTTTTAATACAACTATAGGAGAGAAGCTGGCAATTGCAAGAAATGCCAAATGTTCAGTGGCAAACCCATTTATTTTAAAAGATTTTGATTACTAACATTGGTTAGCGATGGCAAAAATTAAATAGCAGCTGTCCTCTTCAGAGCAAATTAACAATTTGTTGGAAGGAAATGACTCTCTAACATACATTATCCTAAAGCGTTCAGTGATAATTGAGCTTTTGGAAGCTCGCTGTTTACACCATGGAAACAAGGAATACATGCTGTTTCAGTGTCTATAAAGACTACCCACCTCTATTAGCCTCACTTCAGTTTGTGGTGCAGAGTTCCCTGCATCTGTGGTAATGTAGCTGGTATCCACTTGAGTAGCGTGTTCATCAGACCTGCAGTGCTAGTTTTTAAGAAGCAGCCATTGTGCTTGCTCCCTAAGGATGGAATGTGTATCTGATACTGCACTTTGCTTCCTATCTTCATAGTCATATTTAAATGCACTATTGTTGCTTCCTCTAATGGTGAAATAACATTGAACGGATGAAAGATGTTAATACAGCTTCCAAGGAATTAAGAGCATTTACCTATTGAAGTCTGTGTTTGTGCACATGTGGGTTTTTACCAGTTCACAAATGTTTGTATTGTATATGTTTGTATTCAGAAAACTCTCCTCACTTTTTACATTTCTAATCACTTAAACAATTCTAAGCATTAGTATGATAAAACATCCCATGAGGGAGGATTTATTTTTGTATGTATAAAATTAACTGAAGGAAGTCACTTAAAGAATAGCCCCCCCCCCCTTTTTTTTTCCCAAAGTAAATTAAAATAATTCTGTTGGTTAACCTCTTATGTAGAGGGAGTAAATCTTTTATGATTTAGTACACTACTTACAGGTAAAATAAAAATCACCTTTTCACAAATAAATGAAATATGTTAAGATCTCAAATTGCTAACCCCTAGGTTAGCAATTTGGAAACTTGGAATGTATGAAGTAATTTGGCTCACCAGAACTGACCTTGCTGATGCACTGATTAACTGGCAGGGCTTACTCAATGAGAAACAGGATGCACATGCAGCAGCTGGAAGCCTGCCAGGACTTCTGAAAACATTTAGTCTCCCATGAATCAGTCTAGCTGCATGAAGGCTACTTCTGTATAGAAAATGTTGAGTAGAGGCTTGTGCTTTGTCACAGCGTGAGGTTTAGAAAAGAGTAGCAGTGGCATGTTCCTGGGAGGGAGTTTAAGTCAGGAGAGGCTGAGGGGGAGGAATCTCCTGGATCTCTTGCATTTTAGACAAGGTAACTATATCACTTCGACATTTTTAACCTTTTCTTGGAAAAAGAAGTCTTCCTTGGCTGAAAAAAAAAAAATATGGGCAGTGTATATGGGAGAATTTGACGTTTGAAATTGAAATATTAATTGCACATCATTCTTATTTCAAGGGAAGATGCTTACTTCTTTCAAGCCTTTTTGGTAAGACTACAGAAGTTTGTGTGCCTTTCACTGTGTAAAGAGGAAGGCTTGGTTTAATCTTGACAATTCCCATTTCAGCAGCAATTTGACACTTTCCTTCTTACCTAAATAGAAATAGACACAGATTAACAGCTGTTTGATTCACCCGTAGTGTCATATTGGATCCACTCAAGTCATGTAGATCAGAACTCTCCAATAAAACAAAATGCTCTCAAACAGGAATGGTAAAATGGTGTCAAAATCACAAGGTCTGCTGATGTGAATTCCTCTAGTGTAAAGCAGGATTGTGCATATTTCTTTGCAGTGTTCTTATTTCACGTAGCTTTCTCATGCGTTTAAATATCAGTGTTTTTGAGAAAGATGGCTTTTGGTACTCTCAAGCGAAGCTAAACTTCATCTACATGCCGGTGAGATGTGTAACTGTACAGGAGAAGTGAAATAAAGAACACTGAAGTGTAAGCTTGAACAGCTGTTTCATTTGATTGCTAGCAGTGGGTGAGAATGTAAGTTGAGGCAAATCAGTGTGCCTGCCTTAGAAGCACCCATGTGCTTTTAGATTTCCCTGTTAGAGTCAGGAAAATGGTGGTGGGGTTCAAGGGCAGGGAAGACGTTGACTCCTGGATGTGAAGCCGTGGCAGCAGGACTTCTCAAATGGCATGAAGAGTGTCTCTTTCTCAAAAAAAACCCTAACTTCTTGCTACTGAATTGCCTGTGGACAGAGGCTGTGGTTCTAAATTCTTTTTAAGAATCTGCCATGATTACTTTCTTGTCTAGGGGCCAACCAGCTTCTACACAGTGTCTCATGGCAAAGATGACTTAAATTATTGGAAAATCCTAAACTTTACTATGGCTTAGTCTGTATAACCTAAATGAAAGATGACTACTGAAAATACAAGCCCAGTATATAAAAAAAAAAAAAAAAGGGGGTGGGGTTGGGGGGGTGTTGGAAGAATGAACTATATTGCTGACGAACACATGGGAAACCTCAGAAGAACAGATCAGTTTTCCAAGCAAATGCAAGATTTGTACTACTACAAATGGCTGGCTGCTGAGTAAGGTTGACTTGTTGATACTGCTGTTTCTCTGTGAATCGTTTGCATTTCGCTGAGGGAAAATAAATAGCTTTTCAAATGAAATCATATATTGGGATGTCTTCACTGTTACAGTCACAAACCAGCAATTTATATTGTTGGGTTTGTGAATCCCTTATAGTTTACTAGTCTCCTAATAAATGTGAAATGTGAGCTGGACGTTGCTTCTGACAGAATGCCCTAGCAGCATTACAGAGGCACAGTGCCACAAGGCTGTATGCTAACAACCCTGTACAGCAGGAACACTTTCAAGACTAAAATGCTTAATTTACAGTCTTTCAAAAAATAGAATCTATTGTCACTGTCACAGGGTTAACAAGAGTTCCTTGCTACTTTTTCAATGCACTGAAAGTGCCAGGTAATAAGATTCATAGGATGCTTATAATTGGGAGAGTGGTGCTTGGTCTGAAACGTATGAAAAATAAACAATTTAAGAAGATGTCACTGTTATCTCTATACCTGTCTGGCTCCCATTTTCAAATAGCAGAATCTACATGCTTTTGTAAAATAATAACATGAAGTTGATCCTTCTGTTAAAAAAACACAGAACAGTAAGTGGTTTGTTTGTTTTGCTTGTGGATATCAGTTTAGCTTCTTAAAATTGAAGAAGTTGCTTAAGATATTTAGAATGCAGGATTCCCTCTGAGCCCTTATGCCTGCGGTTGAGCAATAAAAGCTTGAAACAAGAGTGGTATTTTCAGAATTATTTTGCATTAACGAGGATTATTGCCAAGAAATGAAAGAGTGCACTTTTAGGAGGGAATGCTATTTAAAATGTATAAATAAGAATTAAAATAGTGTATATATTTAGAAAACAAATCTTTTTAAACAGTAAATGCTTTACATGTTGAATTAAAAATAAATTAGCATAGGAACTATATCATCTTCACAGTACTGGCTGTTATCCAGCACAGTTTGGTTTGTTTTATTTGTGATTGCTGTACTAATTATATTTGATTTTTTTTTTATCTGTAATGTAACAATAGTGTATTATAACAGTATATAGTGTACTATACTACACTTCACTGTACAGTATTTGGAATTTTCTTTGATTGCTATATTAAAACTATAAGTTAAAACACCTGCTTTGGTTTTCTAAGGTGCAACTTTTATCTAGCCTTTCACACATTAGCCTGTTTAATTAACACTGATTTGGCTATAAAATTAATGAATTGTAAATATATTGACTTCTGCATTCTCCATATAAACTGCATTATACTTGCGTACATGAATACTAGTACGGAAGATGAAAAACTGGTACAAACCTTAGAAAAGTAAACTCTGATGTCATCCATGTTGCTTTAGTTGTTTCTGTTTAAAAGAAACTTTTTTGAAAGAAAAACTCCTTATGGAAAAGTTTTTTTGATCTCATACCTGTTCTGAATATTTAATTAAACACACGGGATCTTTGAACGTGAGAGATTTTTAAAACAAGTTTTTATATATTTGAGACCAATATATGAGATCTGAATCTTTTTTCAAAGTTGTTACCAAGAAGGTTGTGTAGAAAAACGCTGACCCAAGTCACACATGACGTTTAAGACATCTTGCAGTCTGTGGTTTGGAATATTGGTCAAAATGTATTTCAAAGCAAAACTGTAATGCATGCACGTAATACGCAAGTATGAATAGTATAATGTGGAAGAATTAGGCTTTTGAAAATTTGGCAATACTCAAAGATGAACATGTTGACAACTACTTAAATCTTCTCTGTGCTTTTTCCACCAGCTACATGTGGTACTTTGTTTCAAAAATTGGCTGTAATCATAACTTTTGAGCCTAAAAAGGAGTGATAAAACCAACTGCAAAACTGTGTTACTTTTTCCTGTATTTATTGAAAGGCTTTAATTCAGAGCGTGCTAGCATTAAAGCATTCTTTAAAGTGATGAGTGTAAATATGCAGAGTTAATTTTGGTTGTGTGTCATATCATAAAGAATTGAAAATTAACCTTTGGAAGATTTATTTCAAAGGCTTAAATGCTTAATGCTAAGCTAGAAATTGACTCATCTTTATTAATGCGGTGTTTATAATCTGAGCCCAAACCAGTACTGAATGTATGAAGCAACCAAGTTAAGAGTGCTTTCAAAGTGTTTTCATTTTTCTTCTGCTATTAATTGTACAGCCTTAATATCTTTTTTTTTTTTTTTTTTTTTTTTTTTTTTTTTTTTAATTTTAGATTGGAGTTGTTGGGTTTGGATTGGTTATTTTGTTTGGTTTGGTTTGGTTTGGTTTTTTTTCTTGGGTATGCCCATAGCAAATCTGTTCTAACATCCCTGCAAAACCCCAGCTTCCTGCCACAACACAACCCTTCACGACATAATTTTCTCCTTAGGATCGGGGTGAGAATGAACCTTGGATGTTCATCAGCATGTGCAGTGAGTTGTGGAAGGTCCTTGTTGATATTACGAAGAGTCAATTCAAACACATTGACTGTAAAAGTTAACAGAAACTGTGGTGGTTTGCTTGATGTGGAATTTATTTTATCGAGGCTTTGGTACATGTTGGCTTCTGATGGTTTGTGATGTTTTGAGTACTACTTAATGATAAAGAAAAGTAGCAGTGTTTAGATCCATAGTGGACTTTGTGGCCAAGGTGACATTACAGAAACCCGGTAGCCACAGCTGATTTGAAATGGGTTATTCTACTCATAATTACTTAAATTCACATACGCTGGGTGATTCTGAACATCTAGTAATATCATCAAAGGCTTTAGGTTTTAGTGTAAGCATGACCTCTGTTGCTGGAACTTGTAGACATTTTAAGAGGCTTCAGGAAAGATTATTATTCTCTGTTAATGACAGGCATCGATTTGATGATTATGAAATAGCTGCTCAGACTTGTATTTGGACTTTATCCACCTCTTTTTTGAAATGACTACCTAATTTTGTTTTCTGCTGGAAATAATACTTCTAGTGGCTTGTCTTGCTAGTAGCAAATCTAATTTCACTGCTGAAGTGATCCTGTAGATATGGACGGGGTCTGTGCTGTTCGGAAACTTGTATTCAATAAGTAAAAAATTAAACAAATGACAGCAGGTGGAAGGAAGTTACCAGAATTTAGGAGGTTTAGAAGGTGCTATGGTTCTTATTAGCCAATAGTTGGTGGGGCCTGGCTGCATGAAGTGCACAGTCATTTCTTACAAACCTTTCAGGCATGATTCAAGCAACTTCTTTCAGAATAACAAAAATTGATTTTATAAGCTATTTTGTCAACTCAGTATATAAGATTTTCTTTAAAATGAAGCTTCTTTCAGATTGTTTCATTGTCGCATATATGTAGAGAGAGAGCTGCCAGGTGCTACCTCCTAATCCTAACCTCTCTCTTCTTTCCCACATTCATTTTTGCAGATTCTGCAAATCCCAAAGGGTCTCTTCTGACATTGGGCTAGCTTTCTTGTTTGCTTTTCGCCTGTCACTTGGACTTATATATTGAAACACTTTTACCACGGATGTTTCTGTAAGCTTATTGTCCTCTGTTTATACTGCTGCTTTTAGAGACAGTGAGAGGCAATAGATAAATGATCCAATTTCACACAAATTAGATGGATAGAAATGAAACCCTTGTTTGACTTCCTCCGAGATCTGTATGTATGGGACCAGAAGGACTGACGGGAGATTCCTAAGAGAGCAGAGAACTTGTGGGCTTATTCAGGAGGGGGAAGAAGATACATAAGGATTTATCAATGGTTCTAAAAATCAGTAGTTCTGTGGGGCAACCACGTTTCATGTTGTTCCACTTCCAGGGTGATGAGCTTTAGAAGCTGCAGTGGCTCACTCTAAATCTGGGGATTTCCCTGAGATCTACCTTTGTTTTCTCTGAGAAGAAGCTGCCAAATAAGTATATACTTTTCCACCCAGTGGGAGAGAAGGGGTGAGGCATCACCAATTGTTGCTACGTGATGGTGTAGAGTTTGTGGCATGAAGAAGAAAAAAAAAAAAAAACACAGAAAAGGCAAGGAATTAAATAACTCCTATTTCTAACTATATGTTCAAATCTGCTCAAGTGTTGCTCAATACACACTCAAGTCCTACATCTGAACATTGCACATAAAATTATAGTACTTTTTCCTGCACTATGTGTGTCTTAAGATAAGGTCCTTCTTGGCTTCTGAAGACAGATGCTGGAAATAGCAATTGTTTTTGCAGACAGCAGGAGGGATGCAGCAAATAAGGCTCAGGAGTACCTACTTTTGCTTCCAAAATAAGAACATTCAAGGATTGGTACAATGGAAGAAACTAAATAAGCAGTATTTATTTCTTTGCTCCCTCTGTTTCTCCTAACCTTAACTTCTTCTTTACATTGTCATATTCACTAATGGTTTTTTTTTTTTTTGATTTCTTCCCTGCATTTGAAGTCAGCCAAGCTAACCCATTCCTTTCTTAGTTTGGAAATTTTGAACTCAGGTCTCTAGTAACCCAGCAGCCCCAAAATCCCCAGTTATCTATTGCCTACTCTGAAAGTTGTCTTTATTTAGTGTTTTGTATCTTTCCAACCCTAACCCTGAGGTTCTACCTTTGAAACTCTCATAAACTTGCATCCTTGCACAAACTCAGAGAATACATTTGCAACAACTAAGGACCTTTCAGGGGCCCTCGTTGCTGACCGTGGAAGCGGAGCCAGGATGGAGGTGTGCAGTCTTTCGCATCTGTAAGCACTCTCCGCTCCCTCTCCTCTCCTCCTGCTGGAATTCTGCAGGGCTCGGGGGGAGCAGCACTGCCTTGGAAAAAGAGGTAGACTGCAGTCGTACAAGCAGCAGAGGCCAGCATCTCTGGGATTGCTGGTTGTGACACTGCAAGATTTGTCTCCGTGACTCCTGTTGTTGCAATCAGTGTTAGGAGTGGGAAGGAGAGAGTCTTGCTGGTAGTTTGGAAAGGAGGGGGGATCAGAACACTGTTCTTTTTATATGGTGGTTTTTATTTTGGGGGTAGAAAGTCAAGCCAGTGCTTTCCATTTATCACCAGGGTACTATGAGACTTTGGCTGTTTGCCTGAATCTAGCTCAGGCTGCTGCTGGGACACCGTTACCGCTGCCTGACTACTGTTTACCCACCTGACTGGTTGGCTCCGTCTGGCTCTGACTGCTTTGCAAAGCCCTTGCGGTAGGACTAATTGTGTGCTCCTGGGGTTGGCAAAATCTAAGGATTAAGTTGACCTCTCTTGCATTCGTAGTGATGACTTTCTAGGGCATAACTCCAAAACAGCATGGGATAACGCATACGGCTGATACCTGATTAACAGGTCACTTCAGAGACTGAAAAGATCATTTAGAAGTTGTATGTATGTTTGTGAAAGGATTCAATCCTTTTTTTTTTTTAAAAAAAAAAAATGGCATGCCTCACCAGAACTAGTAAAATTATTCCTCTATTATTTCCAAAGCAAACAAGTAGCATTTGAGAAATTAGTAAAGCTTATTAATTGAGATTAATATTGTAATCTAATCTTGCAGCAGTATCATCGTTATTTATTGGGAGAGTTGATAGTGAGATCATAGGTAATATCAGAGTGTAAATTTGGAAGTTACTTTTTTCCCTGCTTTGATTGATTCAAGGCTGTTTCACTTTTAATCCTTGAAAAGTAATCCTATACGGTTTGCCTGTATGGTGCCTCATATAAATTAATACCCATGCCGTTGAAACCACAGGTGAAGTGGTTGCCAACCAGAAATTTGCCTCCTCAAAGGAGTTCTACCAGTGTAGCTGCCACTGCACTTGCAGAAGCAGATGAGGTGAGGCTTCAGGCTTGGTTTCTGAGTGACGGTGTCCATCAGAGCTGTGCACTGACACCATTTCCTCACACTCTGCGCAAGAGACAGCGTGAGCTCAGCATGACCTGTTTCTTCTCAAGCCAATGACAGCTGAGGATTGCCAGAAGCAGGGATACAGAGCAGCTCATGAGATCTGAAATATAATCTCCTCCCTGAGAACTACGATTATTCTACAGCAAGTAACTTGTTCTTTGTGTACGTGCCTGAGCAGATCCTAGCACAGGTCCCCGGCAGGGCTATAACCCTGGAGCTGCTTTATTGATCTCCTGAGCTTGGGAACTGCAGTCGATTTTTTCAGTCCAAGGCTTGATCCAAAGGCCACCTCAGAATTCTCTGAGTAGTCATGCAGCCTCCTTGAGAAGCTCATATAGGCTGCTTTGGGAATGAGCAAGAGGATGTTTTTTGTGCACCACGGTCATGGAGGTTAATGCACTACTATACATTCTAAGCTCATCTAAATATACACAATTATTTTGATATTTTGCTACGGTAGCCTTTAAGCCTTATATTTTCACCTTCCCTACACTAGCATGAATAATGCAGACCTGTCAATATGGTAAAGCAAAATTAATAAAATCACAAATTACATACAATTCTTCTGTGTCATGGTTAACAGAACACAGGCTAACTGAATTAGGCAGAGGAATTAGCACCTTTTTCCCTCTCTGACAGGCTGTACAAATAGGTTGAGTCAAAGTGCACAAAACTTGCTAACTCTTCGGGATGAAGTGGTTAATCCTGTAAGACTTGGCATCTCAGGAAAATGTTGTAAGGAGCATTTAGAGAAAATTCCAGCAAAAGCAGATCATTTTCAACAGCCATGAATAGAATATTGCCCTTCACAAAATTTGATACTAAGAAGTTTAAAAAAAGAAAAAAATATAAGTATGACTCTACAGGCACACAGCAAGCTGAAATTGCTCTGAACCGCAGCTTCACTGAACTGACTGTGACATGACTCAAGTACGAATGACAAGCTGAGATCTTCAATACTGAGACACGAAGCAGATGCAGATAATAATGTGCTGTCCATATGGAGAACTATTTTAAT